TTAGGGTTTTGGCCCGGGTGGGTGGGTTGCTTATCGATTAGATCTTCCAGCAGAGCTCAGCAGATCACAAAATTTCCATGTGTCTCAGTTATGGAAGTTTTGGGGATGAGTCAAGTTGTACCATTAGGTGATATTCAGGTGATAGCAGCCTGAATTATCGAGAGACCAGTTGCGATCTTAGATCGGACGACGAAGACCTTGAGGACAAGGTGGTTCAGTTAGTGAAGGTGCAGTGGCCGCACCGGAAGGGTTCAAAGTGGACGTGGGAGACGGAGGAGGAGATGAGGGAGCACTATCCGGAGTTATTTTCAGGATCAGTAGCAGCCAGACTTCGAGGACGAAGTCTAGATAGAAAGTGGGCAGAATTGTAACGCCCATTTCTGGTATGTAATTTAAATATAGTATTTTCCTTTCTTAAGAGGTACTCGACGAGTCAGTAGCCCGACTCGTCGAGTAGAGACGGGATTTGCACGCATTTTTAGCGAGCGACTCGACGAGTCCATATTTCCAGACTCGGCGAGTCCGCCAGTCTGGATGAAACCCTAAATCCCACGGATTGTATCCCATTTAAACGTCATTATAGCTCCCATCCCAGCCTCCCTCACCCTCAGAGCATCCCTCACAAAACCTTAGCATTTCCTTAAGCATTTTGAGTGTTTCTCACCTTGTGAAGGATTTGGTTGCATATTGGGGAAGAAGAAGAAGTGAGAAGAGGAGCATTCAAAGAAGAGCAAAGAGGATCCAGTTCCTTGTGACATTTCAGTCCCCATTGAGTTATTAAAGCTCGAATCTTTACTTCCTGTCGTTTAGATCTCCTTAAAAGCTTGCTATTGTTTATTTTTGGGCCATTTTTTAGACTTTGATGTCGATTTGAGAGTAGTTGAGATGAATGTGCTTCAGATCTAGGCATTTCAGAGCTCCATAAGCTCAAGGTTGCCACCTTTATTGAGCCAAGTTCCTATTCTAAACCTAGATCTCCACTTTTAGCTTATTTGGGTATTTAAGCTCCATATTATCATGTATGCACGTAAGTTAGCAAACTTTACATGAAAAGCCAACCCTAGGAACCCCAGATCTATGAATTGGTTGCACTGGAATCGATCAAAATCAACTGTATAGTAATGACATGCAAGAGACTCGGCGAGTTGTTCATTAGACTCGATGAGTCGAGTCGCCAGTCCTCGGTTTTCCCTGTTTGAGAATTGAGGAGTGGAATCACTGAGTGGGAATTGGACTCGGTGAGTTGGACACAGATCTAGTAAGAGGGACTCGGCGAGTCGACGCCTGACTCGGCGAGTCCAAGGAAATCTTCTTGCCTCAGAACAACTCGAAGAGTTGTTCATACAACTCGGCGAGTCCAGTCTGGACGTGGTCATATGGCGAAGAAGAACTCGACGAGTTGTTCATACAACTCGGCGAGTCGGATGAAGTTAGATTCGGCGTTAATCCGGAAGAAGAACCGGTCGAGTTGTTGCCAAACTCGACGAGTTGAAGCGAGTAGAGGATTAGAAAAGGTGTTAGGGACTCGGCGAATTTGCGCGGCCCAACTCGGTGAGTCCGGTCAAACCAGAAGTTGACTTTGACCCAGAAGTTGACTTTGACCAGGGGGTTTACTTGACCAGGGGTAAAACTAGATTTTACCCTGAGATTGTTATCAGTATTTGATTTAGTGTTTATGGGATTTTAGTCGGGGAGTTCCAGAGCAGCAGTCAGAACAGTTCAGATTTAGCATCTCAGCAGCCAGCGTTACGAGGTGAGTTTCCTTCCAGTAGGAACGGGCTACGGCCACAATGCCGCCCCGTTTTAGTTAGCAGTAGTTCCGGACTTCGGTCTGATGCAGTAGTTCAGTGTACTTGAGGTCTTTGTGATTCAAGCATGTCTTTGTGTTAGGTGTTCCGGACTTTGGTTTTGGATATACAAATTCAAGTCTCACTGTGGACATAGGTGAAATAATTTAGGAGTAGTTTAATATATATTTGTATTTGTCAGTTCAAAAAAAAAATCAAGCTATGTTTTTGTGGATCAAACTTAGAATTTGTTGTAGTTCTTTATTAATGTGTCGGAGTATCGTTCACTAGGAAATTATAATGGTCAAAAATCAAATAGCAGCCAAATGTCAGGATTTTATATAGGAATTATCCGGTGAAATAAATTAGGAGTAGTTTAATATATATTTGTATTTGCCGTTCAAAAAAAAATCAAGCTATGTTTTTGTGGATCAAACTTAGAATATATTGTAGTTCTTTATTAATGTGTCGGAGTATCGTTCACTAGGAAATTATAATGGTCAAAAATCAAATAGCAGCCAAATGTCAGGATTTTATATAGCAATTATCGCGGTGGTATAATGGTGGTACAGTGGTTTTTTTATATTTTGTGCTACCCCTTACGAAACATTCTGGTTCCGCCCCCGACAACATCTGTTGTTTGATGGGATGACTTTGACTTTGATGAGCATGTGAAACTAAGATGCCTTATAGTGAACACATTCAATGAGGAAACATAGGAGATGATTGTTAGTTGGAGACGGTAATCATGGAAGTCAATGTACATAGAAAAAAGGACCGCTTCCTCTTGCGGCTTACTTAAACATTTTGAGATTTTTGAAGCCTCAATTTAAAATTTGTCCCTTTTTTTTTAAACCGCAAAATATCTAAATATACTCTTAAATATCACCTATGTCTCATAAGAGACTTGAATCTATGACTTCTCATTTGAGAGGATCACTCCTTACCGCTAGATCAAAGGCCTTTTGGTATTTAAAGTTTGTCATCTTACCTATCTTAAAACATGTTATCTTAATTACCGGGTTGGTCCGGTTAACATATCAACAATTTTGTTGACCATCGTTTGTATGTTCTGCAATGCGTAAACAACTACTATCTTGAATATTAATTATAAAAACTACCACGAACATAATGATCCATTTTTCATAAATAAAATGATTTTAAAGACGGTAAATAATTCAGTATATTTTGGGTGACATTTGGATTGGTTTTCTGTATTACTGACATTCTATAAAATAGCACTTGTATAAGAAAAATAAAAGGCATTTGGTGTTTTATGGGATGACTTTGACTTTGATGAGCATGTGAAACTAAGATGCCTCGGTAAACATATTCTATGAGGAAATATAATATGAGATGACTGTTATTTTGAGATGGTACTCATGGAAGTCAATGTAGATAGAAAAAGGATCGCTTCGTATTGCAACTTACGTCAACATGTTGAGATTTTTTGAAGCCTCGATTTAAAGTTTGTCATCTTTCTTATCTTAAAGTCTGGTATCTTAAGTAGGGGTCGGTCCCGAATAACATTTCAACAATTCTGTTGACCATCTTTTGTACGTAAGTTCCGTAAACAACTAATATCTTAATTCCTAAATATTAATTATAAACACCACCACCAATTAAAATAGTGATATCCAAATTTTAGATAAAATGATTTTTAAAATGGTAAATAATTCAGTATATTTGGGGTGACATTTTGATAGTTTGACTCATTTCATTTCAATTACATGCTATCCAATATTATAAATAAAATGATTTTAAAGATGGTGAATAATTCAGTCTATTTTGGATGACATTTTCATAGCTTGACTCATTTCATTTTTATTACTGTACATGCTAACTTTACTTACCTATTCGCGACCCATTAAAACATATAGCGGTAGGAACTCATTTTTATTGAAATGGGGTTAAAACTGACTCATTCTACCGACTTGAGTTCACAAACTACCCTACAACTTTAATTTTCTAAAGACTACCATAAACCTCCTTTTTAGTTTTTACCACGCCCCTTGTCATAGGTAATACTAAACATTTGCTTCACTAAATGCTTGCGATGCAAGAGTCGCGATTGGTGCCATTCTAATTGTTCGTTAACATTGGTGGAGTATGTGACAAGCTGGATTCTGTTTGTAGAAAGTGTTGCATGTGCCAGGGATGCCATATATACACTAAAAGCAGTATGAAGGGGTCTGAAAGATACCTTGAACTGAAGGTACTTAATTATTACTTAATATATAGATTATGGAGGTTCATGCATTCATTAAACTATATATATGGAGATTATCAGTGTCAATAAGCACCAATTGTCCAATTCAATACATAGACAACAATTCAGTATACCGTTCCATTAATTACAATCTCAATTCAAGATCTATTAATTTAGAGTTTTACGTCAGGCCGGCTGCAATGGCTCAGTCGTTGGTTTGTCATGTTATGTTACTTGTGATATTCATACTGGTGGCTCTTGCTGATGCCCAAACTCCACCTGGAATTAACAACCCTAGCCATGCAACTTGTAAGGACCCGAGTTACAAAGAATGTCATAACTTGGTGCATGTTTGTCCAAAGTTTTGTCCAGATAGCTGCACTGTTAATTGTCAATCATGCAAACCTGTTTGTGGTGGCGACATTGCACCATCACCACCAGTGTACACACCTCCAACACCAACACCTTACTCACCACCTCCCACCACCACCCCTTTACCACCAACAGAGTCCACACCTCCAACACCAACACCATCCACACCCTCTCCCACAACCCCATCACCACCAGAAGAGTCCACACCTCCAACTCCAACACCATCGTCACCACCTCCAACCACCCCTGCACCACAAAAAGAGTCGACACCACCAACACCATCCTCACCTGCACCTCCTACATGGTCTACTCCACCTTTCGAAACCAAAGAAAGTCAAGTGCAAAAACCACAATTACACAAAATGTTATGCCTCCGAGCATGTCTGCCCTGCTTCTTGTCCTGGTCAATGTGAAGTTGATTGTGTTTCTTGCAAGCCAGTTTGCAGTAAGTTCTTGTAACTCTATGTTTTCACTTTATTAATTAATAAATACTAAAAATTCATATACGAGGAGAGTCATCTTGACATCAAATTATTGAGGTTTAATTCCATCATGTACAAATGAATACTATGGTTAAATATAACGTTTAAACAGCTATCATTGAATCTCATAAGTGTTTCCATATATATCTGTCTCGTAAATTACAGATTGCGATATGCCTGGAGCAGTGTGTCAAGACCCTCGTTTCATTGGTGGTGACGGCATCACTTTCTACTTCCATGGAAAGAAGGATCAAGATTTCTGCCTTGTTGCCGATAACAACCTCCACATCAATGGCCACTTCATTGGGAAGAGAAACAGAAACATGGGCAGAGACTTTACTTGGGTCCAATCTATTGGGATTCTTTTCGACAACCACAAAGTACAAATCAGTGCTCAAAAGACTTCTTCTTGGGATGACACCATTGACCGTATCTCTGTTACATTTGACGGGGAAAACATCTTTATCCCAAAAAGCGAAGGTGCCAAATGGCAATCTTTTACGACATCAATCACTAGGATTCATGACACCAACCATATCGTTGTTGAAGTTGAAAACCTCTTCAGGATCACAGCCAAAGTGGTTCCAATAACAAATGAAGAATCAAGAATCCATAACTATGATATAACCAATGACGATTGCTTTGCTCATCTTGATCTCAAGTTCAAGTTCTTCTCCTTGAGTAACGAAGTGGACGGAGTTCTGGGACAGACTTATAGGAATAACTATGTGAGCAAGGTGAAGATGGGGGTGTTAATGCCTGTGATGGGAGGATATAGCAAGTTTGTGAGTACAGATTCATTTGCGACTGATTGTTCCGTTGCTAAGTTTAAGAGCAGCAAGGAAGATGGTTCGTCACTGAACTTGCAGTTGCCAAGCTTGAGCTGCCAAAGCGGTATAGATGGGCGAGGCGTCGTATGCAAGAGATAGACTTTTCTTGTTCTTGTTATTACAATACTTATATGTTTACTACGACTTTAATGGTGTAATAAAGATAAAGAATCAATAATAAAATGATGGAACCTTCCAAGATAGTGGAAAGTAGGACTTCCATCGTCATTATCATTTAAACATTGTTTGGCACATTGATTTGTATTTGAACTGTACTATCACACTATTAATTAGAAAAGCATGCAAAAAAGAATGGACTAAGGGTTTGTTGTTTGGTAAAAACAAAAAAATAGGTTATGGCAGCTAGCTTTATACCTAAAGTCTAGTTTTTCAGCAAGCTTAAGAGTCTCTAAGCAACGGAAGCTATCCGTTGATACCTAATCTGACGGCAAATATTAAAACAAAAAGATAGCTAGTAGTTAGAGATTATGGATAGCCAATTATGTATCATTAGCTTTTTGCTATTAGCCACGTACTATCAAAAGACAAACGATGGACTATATTATTATGACGTTTAAAGTTGTGCACACAAAGGTGGAATCTTAAGAACGTTATAGATTAGATCCAAAATGCTAACATAGACTTCAATTCTACATTTTCTGTTGCAAGATAAATGATGAAAATTTTATGATGTTCGGTAATATCACAATTTGATTTTACATACTACGTTTATGTTAGAATTCAATACTACCAACTGATTAGTGACGAATGTCACATAAATTCCCTTCCCAATTTTTGTAATGAATTTTTGACGGGCTATATTGATAAGCGTAGGGTTTCACAAAATAACCACACTTTGTCGATGATATTTTATTAATAATATATAGATGAAATAATTTAGGAAAGGATCATTACAGAATAAGTATTACAAAAATATCCTTAACTTATATAAAAACCTAATATCTTTAGGAGATATCCTTAATACACATATTAGTAAAAATGACCGCTAGTTGGAACTTGGTTGGAAAAAAATTGAGCGTAAAGCTTGTCAGAAGAAACAAGTTCGCGTACGAAATGAAAATCAATGTATGTGTTTTGTGTGTTTATAAGATATGAGATTCTAGCTAAGAAAAAAATTCAATGCAATTATCATAGAAGATAGTAAGGGATCAAGCACATGACGTTCCCGTAGGATATTGGTGACCTAAACGATTTTAGTTGCTATGTTTTCCACAACACGGTATCTAAAATCATAACTTGATCTAGAAACGATCAGTTGCTTCTTGGCCTAGAAGATGGCATAGCCATAAGTCGATTGTCTAGTTTCAATATAGTGAGCTTAGTCTTCATTAGAATATCAAAGAAGAGACAGGGTAGGAGAATGCCAAAGAGAGAGCCCTTATTAAATGGTCCTTTAACATGTCATAGATTCCGTTTAATAGCCTTATGAGATTTCGTTTAATTGCCTTACAACTGTCGATAGATAAAACATAAGTGAATTAGTTCTATAAGAGAAATATTGCCTCATAATCAAGAGACACTATAGTGCCCCGACTAAGTGCTTTTGTAGTAAAGAGATGTGTTACAACAAGTTTGGATTCATGTAAGCGTGGACAAACATTATACTTTTATTGGGATAAGAAAATAACACCCTCGTTATATGTAATTAAGATGACCGAAATCTTTAACAGCAAATTAATTGTGAAGAGAAGATATGTATTTGCTAATTATTTTTGGTTATTACCGAAATCTTTAATAGCAAATTACGTGTCGGCATCACTATATTTGAAACCTAAACTTAACGTGTGAGAAAGATACTAAGACATTGAGACTAGGCTCTTGGTGCTAGCTTTAAGCCAACTAAAGCACATTTAAATTGACAAACATGATGTGGATATCAAACATTAATGAAACCCGAATGATGATCTAAGAAAACATTCTTAGTTATATGTATGTTCAAGAATGTATTCTTGTTGTGTAATTGATGAAGAGGCCATTTGTTAAGGACCATAAGAGATACAATGATACATATAGTAGAACTGTTCACAACTAGACTGAAAGTAACGAGTAATCCAAGAAATAAAATTTAGTAAAACCTTATGCAAAGAGGTGAACCTTAAGGAGAAAATAGTACATTTAGAGAGGTACTTTATAAGAAATACCCATTTAAGAAAATACAACATTTGATATCTTAGGGCAAAGGACAAGGAACCAAGTATCATTGGCTCGTAAAGATTTCATTTCATCTTCCATGGCTCTTACCCATTATGAATATTTAGTAGCAATTTTAAACATTGTAGGTCCCTAATTTGCAAAAAGTGCATGATGAAGGCCATTAATTTAAAGCAGACCAAGATCAGCAAAATGAAATAGTTTAAATATTCTCGAACATGCTCAGGCGATCATTAGATGTATAGAGGTACCGGTGGGGGCGATAGGTTGTATATGTGGTTGTGTATTGGATAGAGTTATATCGATGGTTACGAGTGGTGGAGAATACAAAAGCTTCCAAGTCCATATGTAGCATTGTAATTCTGAATGAAAAGGATTTCTCATCAAACTGTGGATGTCGGGTTCTATAGATACGAGATGTGATCAAATCAAATCAATCATAGCCTTTGTAGTGGGTGTTGTATAATATAAATATGTACGAAATGCTTCTTGGGGCCATCTTGTGAGGAGAATAGTCACACAAATACGGGAATACTCGACATCCAAATTGCAAAAAGTTGCATAGTTTGGAAAATATGCAAAATGTTGCTTAGAATGAATTTTGTAATATAGAAATTTTGATGGAAAATGAGTAACTATATATATCTTCTAGAAGTGAAAGCGTCATCCTATAATTTTCAAGAGAGTGAGCTTTAAAAAGTATAGAAAATCTGGTTTTAGTTAGACAGCGATGCTTACGTTCTATCTGACTAAATCATTGGGTGTGTATGGACACAAATTTGTTGGATCATGATGTGTATTCATAACTAATAGAAACTAAGTTATTCTATATGAAGGTTAAAAGATTACCTTTGAATTATGTCAAGAAGAATCACAAAGACCCAAACTAGAGTCTACTATTTGTATCACACCCCATAGTAACAATCAAGCAAGATGATTTTTCCATGATGGAATCACAAAACCCTAAACGATCTCTTCCTTTATTCTTTATGCCTTTAAAAGGATAGAGAACGAGAGGGGTGAGGGGTGAACGAATTTTGGCATGTTTTTTAGGATTTCTTTAGCCTTATTCTCAAGGGTTTCCATGCAATATATAGTTCATAAACCGTAGAGACTTTCTTCATCCTCCAAGTTTGCCTAATTATGGTATTAATACACTAATTCAAAATATGGTGTTGGGACATGAAAGCTTGATTTGATATGTAGAATAATTAGAACATAATCCACACGAGTTTTGGGTGCTAAAAGACATTATCGATCATAGTGAGGAGTTACATCTCTCAAAAATACTCTACAATGAATATAACAATATATATATATATATATATATATATATTATAATATATATTATATCTATATATATATAAAGGTGCATGTACAAGTCTCTCTCTCTCTCTCTCTCTCTCTCTCTCCCTATATATATATATATATATATATATATATATATATATATATATATATATATCTCAAGTCATAAGCTAAAATATCACATGTCTAATTAGGTCTTCCAAGTCTTGTCTTGCCATCCTCCATGAAGAACTTTGCATCTCCACATTCTCCCCATCAAAGTTCGTAACGAGTGGCGAGACTCGAAAATCCTTAAAGCATATGGCGAATAAGAAGTCCATCTGTTAACATGATAATAAGAAGAAATAATAAAGAAATTCGTAAGCTTGAATCTTATGTGGTGAATAAGCATCGATGGGCTCTAGGATATGTAACAATGTAGAAAAAGCTCCAAAGGGAATAATCAACCTGAGCTATAAAAAATAATCCCTAGGATATGTAACAATGTAGAAAAAGCTTCAAAGGGAATAATCAACCCGAGCTATAAAAAATAATCCAAAAAAGTATGACTTTTTAGTGATAACCCGTCAAAAATACCCACTTCAGAAATAAGCATTCCGAATAATTTCTACGCTTCCCAAATCTTTTTAAGAACCCCTCCTCCCCGCCTCAATATCACATCATCTTCAAAATAAACATGAAAAACAACCGCTAAAGGCATTAAGATCTAAAAGCGCCACGTAAAAATCAAGATCGAGACTTTCAATCAAACTTGATCAAGAAAGAACAAAGTCGAGAGTCATTAAACCAGGTAGTCAATCGCAAAAAATAAACTCCATATATGCTCATCAAGACACCAAAGATACCTGAATTCAATAAATCTTTCTCAAACTTCACTAAAAATCACCATGTTGAAAAGTCACAATCTTCTTTCAAATGGTCATACGAAATTCTCCCCCATTTTATAATCGATATATTATATAAAAACTTTCAAATGTACATGAAAACATACCCAAATTTTATATATCAATGCTATACTCCCCTCGACATAAGTATCAAAATAAAGTCATCCCAAAAATAAGAGTATCATAATAATGCAGAATCACAAAAGTTGTCGATGAGTGTGTACAGTCAAGCCTTCGCCTTCCCACGATCATCTAAATTATTTGAAACACATTTAAATCCACATATGTAAGCACGAAGCATAGTGAGTTCCCCAAAATATCACATACAACACATCATAATAAACAGTTTTAGGTTATCAGCAACGATGGGACTATCAGTAGTCCTATGGGCCCATAATAGTCCTATGGGTTATCATCAACCTTATGGGTTATTAGCAACCCTACGGAGTATCAGTAGTCTTGGAGTTATCAACAACTCAATATATACACATAACAACAATTAGAAAATAAGACTCAGCTAGTCTAACATGCACCCTACTATGACATAGGTAAAATAGTGAGAAGACTCACATCACAAATAGTAGAATAACACAACAGCTCTCAGACAGTGAATACTGGTACTAAGAATCACCTAATCATTAACATAGAAGTACCCTCTCAGTCTACACCTTAAAACCCTCAAGCTGACCAAAAGTCAACTTGGTCAAAAAGTCAACTATCAAAGTCAGCCCTGACTGACCTCCACGTTGTGGCCACCCATAAGCCACGCCGTGACAGCTACACGACAAAAACAATCGTGGTGACACCAACCATCACATCGTGGCAAGCAGACTG